CTTCATCCTCTGGAAATTGTTTCTTTGTTATGGGGTGGGACCACAACATCAATAACAAAGAAACAGAATTAAAACTTTATTGTGGGGAGCCACTAGTGTTTTGGACAGGTTCAAGCCTTGGACCCCCTGCACCGGGCCCAGGAAGACCCCACAGTCAGGCCAGCTTCTCTGGCTGCGTGGATGGCAGCTGGGGCCCCCAAGCCCGCCCCAGCAAGGCTGGCCTGAGCAGAGCTCCCCACGGAGGCGGGACGAGGGGGAGCCCGGGCCCCTGGAGCGCTCAGGGCGCAGAGTCAGCTGGGTCCCCGCTGCCGCCTCCCGTGTCCCCTCCCCTGTGCAGCCTCTAGCAGGTGTCGCTGCCTCCATCACAGCTGCCGTCGCCCGGGGCCCCTGGGACAGTGAGCAGCTGCCTCGGGTCTGGGTGCCTCCGGTGCCAGGACGGTCAGGGGATGTTGGAGAGCCGGTTTTGGCCCAATCCTGCAGGCCAAATTGAGGGACCCCACTTGTGCACAAATTTGTGCACTGGGCCTCTAGTTTATCTTATAACTGAAAGTTTGTTCCCAAGCTAGCCACAACTTTAAAAACATATTTTCAATTATTAAATCACTAATAAGTAGTAAGGTCTAGCAGATAAAGAAAGGTGGTTTAACCTAGAACTCTGGGTGAAAGAAAAATAACATACCAGATGTATAAGTATGAATGTCTTCTTATATTGCTCTTTTAGATTTTGATGCATATGAGAAGAAATATGTAAGTTCTCACAGCCTTTTATTTCTTTCTTGTTCGCATCGTTGCTTTAGAGGCAATATACCAAATTATTTTCAGATCAGTACACCCGCATTCATTCTGTTCGCAGAATACGTAACTTACTTTTCTGTCTTAACAAAAAATGCACATCAAACAGAAAGAAATACAGGTTTCACAGCTACAACTAGCTGGGAATCTCAGGTCTTTATTCCTTTTTTCTCATGTTCTTTATGACTTTACTCTTTGAATTTTCAAAATAGAGAGGAGCTATATCCAACTATTAATGAAAAAAACTCATCTCCCTCCTCCTACCCTAAAACATGCTTACAAGTATTATTTAGTGTTTATCTTGACATTACAATATTTATACTAATTGTATTATTTAGTTTTTATCTG